TGCCAGAGTGCTGGGTCAGTCTTTGCTCTAGAACTTGTTTCTGCCACTAAAATGATCAGGGTGAAGTGGGTGGCTGAGGAGCTCCTATGCTCAGGCCCAAGACAGCTCAGGTGCTTTCCTTTAAGCCATTTTTCAATCTCCTCTGTAACTATTTCCAAGGGCAAAACCAAAATGTTTCTGGTTCCAGTTATCTTAAAGGTTAAGGAACCTTAAATATCTTTAAGACATTCTTTAAAGTCAAGGACTAAAACCCTAAATTTCTGGTAAGGAATTCAAATGGGGAAAACACGCCTTGTACATTTGCACTGACTCTGGACACGAGCCCAAGCACTGCAGGCAGGAGGTGCCGCCCGCTCCCACCAGCAGGATCATTTTGAACCTGGCATTTCACCCAGACCAAGGGAAGCAACTGAATGAAGGTCGAGCCCTCTACAATCACCCACAACTGATCCCTAAAGATAGTTGCTAGAGTTCAGCATTTAGACTCAGAAGTTCTTGTCAGGGAATGTCCTTTTACCCATTCCTGCTCCGAAACAGCACCACCTACAAAGGAGAACAAAGGATTCTGGGTCACCGCCAGGAATAATAAAAGTAACTTCACCCTGTAAAAAAGAAAAGCCAGAGAAGACCTGAGTAGTTTACCTATCAACAAAAGGCACCATCCTTTTATGGAAAATATACTCAACAATTGGTCTATAAATGAATAATGAATGAGTGAATGAACACAGGAAACCTGGTGCACACGTTTTTCCTGTGAGGAAATTCCAGCCTCTTCTCTCCCTCCTAAAGGCCCAGGCCAGCCAGCCCATCCGGGCAGAGGTGGTGGTGGGTTTCAGGGCTGCAGGGAAGTTCACCTGGCCCTGAACTAATTTTGATAGATCAACTTTTGGGATGGTTAAAAGATAACCAGTAACAACAGCAAAGACAAAAGCACCTTGTCAGTTTCAAAATGCCAAACCTGTCGAAACAAAGGCGTTTTCTCACTGTCAGACAGCTCGTCTTCCTTCCTTCCCTGCCCCTCGACTCATTCTCAGCACAGATAACATATTACGTCTGCGTGCACATTCCCACACCAATTTTGCTCCTGTCTGGGTCGGTAAAGGCAGCAAAGACTGAACACTAATGGGAACAGTGAGTTTCAGACTCCGGAAGGCTTCTTCAGCTGGGGTCCATGAGCCCCCTCAGGAATCCACGGGGAATTCCAGGTCTCCAAATCTCCTGAACTTATATGTAAAATGTTGTAGACTTGCATGTATGTATTTTTCTGGGAATAGGATATAAGACTTTCATTAGATTGTCCATGGAGTCCCTGACACACAAAAAAAATCTCAGGCCACTACTTCCTAGCACTTTCTGAGCATACCTTCCCATGCAGCCTTGAGGGAAGGAAATGAGTGTCGTGGTCTGGAGGAAGGGGAGAGAGAAGCAAGCCGAGGTGTCTTCTTGCAGAACTGACAAAGTTGGCTCTTTAAAGGAGGGCAGGAGCTGCTGGGCCAGTGGAGATTCAGGAGAGGGGCTGGCACGGGCAGAGGCCGAGAGGGGGCACATGAGGCATGTTTCGGCAGTGGCGAATGGACCAACCAGGATGTACCGATGGCTCATGTGGAGGAGCCCCAGGAGGCAAGGAGAATAAAGAGGTGAGAAGGCCAGGCCATAAGGAGTGACCTGCACCCAGGGGCAACACGGCTCCCCATCAGGGCCAGAGCTCTTCAGAAAGATTAATCTAGTGGTGATGGGTGGACTGGGTCAGGGAGGTGGCCAAGCGTATAAAAGAAGCCACCAAAGAAGTCTAGGCAAAAGAGTATGCTCTGAAATTAGAGTGCCACGTCTGTTCTGTTCACCACTCTCTACCCAGTGTGGATCCCAAGGCCAGGCACAGGGTAGGTGCTTAGTTAGTATCCAGTGAGCACATGGGCATGGATTCCTGCAAAGATCCATAAGCAAGAATAGGGTGTGTTGGTGACTTGGATATCCACCTTGGTATCATTCGCAGAGGCTAGCAGTGTCTTGAAAAGAGTAAGTACTGACCAAAGATCTCTTGGATTGGGCTGGACTGGCCTGAACGGACACGGGGAGCAAGAGTGGGGGATCCCAAGCACTGCGAGAGGCTGGGGATGTGCTAGTCCTATGGCATGGAGTGATTTCTCAGGGAGAATAGGTTTTAAAAGGAAACCAAGCCAAAACGGTGTAAAGGCAAGACCCATCTAAGGCAAGGTGAGAGACTTGGGTTCGGGGTCCTGCCCTTCGAATGAATGTGTATGTGACACTGAGCCAGTAACCTCAAAGGCGCTCTTATAAGAGGCTTTCTAGAGCTAATCCATGGCCCAGCCATACATTCCTGTGGCTCTATACCTTCTTTTAAATAATTTAGGCAAGACCCATGAAGCCAGGATGCCTCACTCTTCCTTTCCTTGAACCCTAGCTGTTTCACAAAAACATACCCTAACACAGGGCGCACACAGACAGGGCACACGTGCGAAGAGGCTGCAGTTGTGATTCAAGTTCAAATTGTTCTAAGCCTGCGATCAGCCAGCTGGGTAGCTCATGGCCTTGGTTAGTGTCCATGTTCACAGTTCATTGTTACAACAAAGCGGTGAACCCTGACAACATAGTTTGCTTCTTGATAAGTTAATATTGTCCTTCTATCTACTGACTTATGCAAAGTAAAGCACACGGCTGTTGCTCACTAATCCTAATGAGTGGGGACGGGGGCAAAGGGCAGTGAAGAGAGGGGCAGAATTTATTTTGACAATTAGAAGTTAAAAGAAAGAATAGGTGGTCAGTGGGTCCTCTGTCCAATCAAAGCACCTGTTAGCATTAAAGATCACACTTCCTTATGTGACTTTCCAGTAAAAAAGAAATACGCTTGAACAAGTGAGCCAGATCGCCAAAATATCCTCTAATTTCTCATTTTTCTTGTAAGTAGCACCTGTTCATCAAATTGGAGAACAGTTCAAGTCTGGATAGCTTAAGAATGAACCGATAAAAAAAAAGCCTTCCCAATAAGACTGAATAAGTCATCCACACCACAGTGATTTTTGTCTCGGTCATTTTGTCTCTGTAACCCATGTTGGGTATGTCCTAGGGTTTTAGTCAAGTTACACCTACGAAATGTTGCTGTCAGGCCAGTACCCAAGATGCCTAGCGGCAACGTCCATTCAAACTCCAGCGGCAGGCACCTGGATAGAAAGAATCCCTTTCCAACTTCACTTTGATCACTGGTTCTCCATGTACTTGCCTTCCAAGTAATGCACAGTAAAAAATAGATGAGAATCTACATGCTCGTAACTTAACCATTCTTGAAGTAAAGATACAACACCCTTGGTGCTACACAGTAAGAATGAAACTGCAGGCAAAATTTCAAACACAACTCTTTCTAGGTGAGGGTGGGGGAAAAGGGCAACTCAGTCTTTGTGGGGCCACGTCCACAATCCACCGATTTATTACATTCCCATTATCAGGCCAGGAGTGTCCCTCGGTCACACAGAACGACCACCGGCTGGTCTTGGGACACCCTTGCTGGAGAGAAAAGAGGTGAGCCTTCCTCCCAGCTGACACTGGAAACCAAACAGGCTTCTCCACTCAGATCTTCTTCACATTCCCCTGAGGCACCAAACAGTCCTCACAAAGACAAATGGTTTTAGTAAGACACAACTGAGTTTTCTGTGGAATAAAAATGTCTTAATTTCAGCATTTCTTCCCAGGTACATGTGACCTACACAGTTGCTTAAACGGTAAACTGCCTCAAAAATTCTTCCCCATTGCCTCTTTGTGAACCCACAGCATTTTAGGATTGTTTTGCAAAAGCCATATTCAAAGAGTCCTTTTCAAGTGAAGTAAATGAACTTGGCAGAAGATGCTGCTGTCTTTTAAGAAGCGCCTCTTCCGTTGCATCAAGAATAACCCAGTCAGTGCAAAGCAGATGTGTTCGTAGTTGTAAATCTCAACACTGACAACCCCTAGCCCAACTGCACGGCCATCACCACAGGATCTTCACCGCATATTTCACTGGAAAATGTTCTATGTCAACAAAAACTGTCTACCGGGATAGAGTGCCTTAGTAAATACAGTAAGCCCCAGAGTCCATGAGCTCCCTGGGGAGGGCGCACAGGGAAGGACGGTGGGGTCCTTAAGAAACGGGAAGATTGGTCCACAGGGTTGCCTTCCTCTCCCTGGGCAATGGCTGAGAACACCGGAAAAGTTGTATTCATCAAACTGCATGGAGTCTACACTGCACAACGTGCATTAATACTACTAGCATGATCCTTCCTACTTCTCCTTCACAATACATCTTGCAAGGTTTGTTTTCGAAAAGACATTACAAGCGGGCCAGCTTCTGCTTACAAAATCAATCCATCACTTTCCCCTTCACCTCTATTAAACCCATCGTATTCCTGAGCTTTGCTCCCTCCAAATAAATCAAATCTGGGCAACTTAACAACTGGGAGTCCACAAGGACAGCAATGCAGTGTTTGTTCAGGCCATGGAAGAAAGACTTCTCTGCAAATACACAGAATTGAACACCGTTTGTAGCTGTTGATGATTCGTAAAAATATTTTCCAGGTTCTTTCAACAACAGGTTTCAATGCAAGCAAGATGACAAAGAGGGACGGTGACAGAGCCCTGACTGTGCCTTTTGTAAGTCAGACTCCGTGTCGTCCATCAGCTTGTCTTGAGAGTGGCTGCTGCTGCTGTCGGCTGGATATGGGATTCCGTGGCCCACACATCTCCACGTGTAGGAAGCACAGTAGAGAATAAAATGTGTGGTTATGTCATACTTCTTCTAAGAGGTTTAATGCGCCGAATTTACCATATGAATCCTCACAACACCCCTGTGAGGTAGGTAGGTGGACAGTATTGTCACCCCACTCTACAGGTGGGGGAAATGAGGCACACAAGAATTAAGGGGCTTGCCCGGAATCGCACAGCTAGTTGCTGACTGGGCTTAGAATAAAACTTACACTGATTAGCACCCAGCACAGCGCTTTGCACATAGTAGGTGTTCACTGAATAACTATGGGTTTTATTTGACTTCTATTTCAACATACAATATACACACATAAAATACAAGCAGCCACCACAGAACATTTATCTCCTACATCTCCTCTGATGACGCCCTATCTCGTTACTTCAAACCTTGGCGGACGAAGATGTTCAAGAATCCATGTCACAACTAAGCCCTTGGGTTGTAGAGGATCAATGTAAGAGTGGTCAGTGTACAATCTGTTCTTGCACCTGCTCTTCTGCATAATCTTAGTTTTCTAATGAAAACAAAAATGGATTTCAGAAACCATGCTGACATTACTTTTTTTTTTTTTTTTGCCTGTTTGTTTTAAATGGAGCCCCCTAAATGGTTCTGTGTTTTGTTTGTACAAAAAGGAATAAGGCTGTTGTAGTCCAGTTAGCTCGCCAGGACTGCCAGGCATGAAGGTCTCCTCCCGGCTTGGATGGATCTCTATCTGGGAAACAGGACTGACTCCAGGAAGCGGCAGGGCCGGCATCAGAGGGTCAGCAAGACTGAACATCACTTGCACTGTTCGTGATCTGTATAGTCATCCATGTCCACGTCAGAATCAAAGAGCGAGTGCCCAGTGAAATCCGTGTCCGGGGTTCTGGAAAAACTGTTCTCTGCTCCCTCATCTTCAAAGGTCTCTGTCCTTGAGTAAAAACTGAAGTCAAGCAGGGGCGTGTGCGTTTTACTGCCTTCGCTGCTCTCCTCGGACTCATAGATGGTGTTGTCATCGTCATGGTGCCACTCGGGCCAGAATTTCCTCCTTATCCTCTCACAGTACATGGCAAGGTTGATCAGCTCACCTGCAGGGTGGTAAGCAAAGAGAGGGTTGGTCCTCAAAGGCAGCAATCTACCACCTACTGGCTTTCTGGGAGATTTGGAAGAATGAGGGGAGGTGGACATTCACTGTGTTTTTCCACAGAGGTACCATCGAGTTATTTAGGTTCGTATACACATCATAAGACAAGTGAGGGGGAGAAGTCAGATTCTGTGAGTAGACTGAATGATATTTAGCAGTGAGTCCCAAGGTGCTGAGCAGGGGGATGGTCTGTCTGAAATGGCAGCTACGCCACCACCATTTGGCTTTGTGAAGCATTTTATTATTTTATGCTCGCACATCAAGGGAACTAGTGCTTCAACTGGTTCATATTTAAATTAATTTATAACCCATGAAACTACACCAACTGTTAGCTAGTTTAAGTCAGCCAGGAGTCATTATTTATTCCACAAATATTTGTAGGGTTATCATGGGCTGGGTACTATGCCACGTAGTTGAAAAGTTATGTTAGAATGGAAATTTTGCCCTAAATAATCCATAAAATGGATAACTCGGAATTGTCTTCATGGAGGAGTATGCCTGCAAGCACATTTAATGAAACGGGTATTTTTAATTTTTTTTAATGAAATTCAACAGCTGCACCCTCGATGGGGCTCTACTTATTTTTCATGTGAATCAAAGGACCACTCTGGTTACGTCGCTAAAATTGTGCGGGCATTTGCTGGAGACACCGTCCAGTATTTGGCTTCCATTTCCTAACTCCAAATGGAAAATGGAGAGAGAAGGTGAAGCGTTGACTTTGATCCACCAGATGGCAACATTGCTTATAAATATTAATCTGTCACCATCTCTTACGGGTCTTTATCGCCTTAACAATACTCTTTGGACGTGTATTTTTTAAAGTCATACAAACATTCACTTATTATGTAGGCTGTCCATGTTTTATTGCAGAAAATTAGAAAATACAATAAGCAAAAAATAAAAGAATTACTGATAATCCCATTTACCATATTCTCACGTTCTTCCAGAAATTTCTGTTTATATATACATTTACATATATTTACATTTGCTATATAGCACTTACTATATATTCTGCTTCCAATACTATTTTTTCCACTTAACAACATAAAATGAAAGACTCCCAATTTCAACTATGACCACCTTGATAACTGCGTAGTATATATCCTTATGCAGATGTACCAGGTTTAATTCTGTTCTTACCAATCCCCTATCACAGCCATGTAGTTTGTTTCTATATTAATAGCTCTACTGATTATAGTCTGTAACTATTCCATTTTATTTTCTATTAGAGAAAATAGCATACTCCCATTTTGGAAAATTCAAAGTCATATAAATACATAAAGAAGAAACCAAAACCACCTACAATTTTATCAGTCCAAGGTAATCATAATTAACATTTTGGTATAATTTTTTTTCAGTATTTTTTTCTCCTTATTTCTCATCATTACCTATGACTTCCTGTAACATTCTGGTAAACACTTTCCCATTAAATAAACACAACTCCTACAAAACATAAAATCACACCACACCCCCCACGTTTCGTGCCCTGTAAACAAACCAGTGGGCATGAGTTGCCTCCAGGTCACCATTTTCAGTCTTCTCAGATCATAAAAGTTCACCTCACGTTATGGAAGAGTCCATTCTGATCACCCCCTCCTCAGACATGGCACGCATACGTTCAGGAGCCATTGCTGAGAAGCCAACATCATAGTCCTTTTGAGAAGATGCGTGCCAAGCCTCTACTTATGTCATCCTTGGGAAAGCCGCCAGGAGACACCTCGCCAGACACTGCCGGCCACAGGTCACCAAGCCATGGATGCAGATGTGGTGGAACCAACAGGGTGGGAGGAGGCGGGGCGTCAAGGATGCACTGTGGCCACTTCACAGCAGGGCCTGGGGACAGCCCTGGGTGCCTCAGTCACGTCCACGCCCTATGAGCCGCTCCCTAGGAACAGCCAGGGTCAGAACCTACTCACACACCCGCCGCTCCTACGTGATGTAGGACTCTATCCACTTCCTTGTAATTCTTTCTACAGCCTGTTTATTCACCTTTCTTCCAGGAAAGTCGCCCCCTTCATGACCGTGTGACATTAATACCGCCTCAGTGTGCAATAATAAAAATGAATAATAACAACAGCAAACACAGATATAGTCCTAACTGTGTGCCAGACACTGTTTTGAAGTGCTTTATGCATCTATTGGATTGATGTCAACTCCCATAGTCCCTACAACAAACCTAGGAAGCAGGAACACTATTAACCCCATTTATCATGGGAAAACTAAAGCAACAGAGAGGTTAATTACCCTGCCTGCGGTCACACAGCTAGAGAGTGGGAGAGCCACGATTGAAACTCAAGCAGTTGCCAGACCCTATGCCCTTCACCCTAACTACTGTGCTTGCCTACTGAGGAGGTGACAGCCTGGCCTGGGAATTCATAGCTGCACACTGCCTATCACAAAATATCTTTCTGTAATTCTTCTGGGGTCTCAAGAACTAGCAGGAGGTAAGTGCTGCCTCGCAAAGATAATGAGTTGTCATGAAGGAAGCCATCATTCTATCGTGCAGTCAAGACAGGGTTTGCTTTGATTAGCACGGCTGGGAGTTCACATACCCATCCTCATACCCTGCCCCTGATAAAGAGAGTGAAGCAAAGAATCAAAATTTATACCTGAGTTTTACCTTTCTCTGACCTCGCCGATCCCCTCCTGTTCCCAGACGCTCCATCAGCTGACACACTACATGCTACCAGCCCAAAGAACTGGAACAAGTTGGCAGTAGAAACAGGCTGTGCGTAACGTGTGTTTGTGTGCGTGTGGGTGATATGCCTGTGTTAACATTCATAAATGCTTATACTGAAGGTGCCAACTTTGGGAAACAATAGCAAAACTTCATTTTTTCTAAATGTACTCAAGAATTGGGTAACAATTTCACCTGTCAGACTGGTAAAAATTAAAGTTTGATAACGTCCAATGTGGAGGGTCAGGCATGGTACTTCCAGTGACTAGTGGAAGCATAAATTACCAAGACCTCTTTTGAAAAGTAATCTCATGTTAGCCATTAAAATTTTAAATGCATATATCTGTTGGCCCCCTACTTACAGTACTCTACGTCTACTACTCTATTCCACTAAAATAAGCACCTCGGTATGTAAAGATATATGTATCTGGATGTCAAATGCAGCATTATGTGTTAATAAAAAAAAAAAGAAGATGGAAAAACAGTCTGAATTTCCATCAACAGGGACTGATGAGATAAGTTATGGTGTATCAGCTGTATGAAATATTGTGCGGCTGTTCAAAAGACATACTTTATTAAGTGATTTTATTAAGTTATAAAACAATGTGCATAATCCTATTGTTTAGTTTAAAAATAGTAAAAACAAACCAAAACAGTCATATACATGTGTGTAAATTTGTACATGACAAAGAAAGGCACAGAAGGATTTACTCCATATCCTTAATTCATTACTCCATGGGGGTGATATTAGACACGGATGAGGGGGAAGTCATAAATCTTTAAAAATGTACCTGTGTGGATGTGGTTGAGACTTAATAATAGGGGGGAATGTAGCAACCATAATGTTGCTCATGTGAAACCTGAGCATAAGATTGTATATCAATGATACCTTAATTCAAAAAAATGAAAAAAGTACCTGTATAATTCAACTTCTTGTGATAATCATGTATTACCTCTTTAACTTAAAAATCTAAGAAAATATATTAGTAAAATACTGAGTAATTAGTGATATTCTCAGACAACTTGAGAGGATATTTATCAGAAAGCTGAAGGGCCCTCTACTCAGAGAACACCCCCAGACAGAAAACAGAGCTTTTGTCTTGGAGTTTCTCAAACGCAAAAACCCCCACGGCACTTTGAAAAAAGAAGTTCATTTTCTTTTCCAATATCACTGCCATTTCTCTAATTCTCAAAAACATTCTGGACAATTTGACACTGAAAACACTGTCAATCAGACCCAGAATCCGGAAGCCGGTTTCTCCCAGCTGCCAACGGTGTATGGTGGGAATGAGGGAGTGGGGGTGCTGCCAGCGTCCCCCAGCACAACCTGCCCGCTGCTCGGGCATTGCCAGGTATTCGGACCACATGGGGCTGGGACCCACACACCACATCCGGGCTACAGGAACTCACCCAGCACCATCCTGTCCCACTCTTGTGCCGGCCCTGGCCCCGTTCCTGGCCGTTGCCCTCAGGATTCTACCACAGGGGCAGGGAGGGATTGAGCATTTCCTCTTCAGCAAAGTTCTTAACAGACTTGAGAGCTGCTTCTTCCCCTCCTCTCCTCGACGCTGAAGGACACTCCTTCCTCGATTCCAGAATACCCAGACCCTCAAAGGGGATCTGGGCCAGCCCTTTCTTGAGACCCAAATGCTCCCCGCAGCAACCTCTCCCTGAACGCTCCTGGATACACACCAGTAAGAGTGTGGGGATGCAGACATACTTATATGTTTTCCAAAATATTCAGCACTTTTTCCACATTTTAATCTATCAAATAATTTTAAAAAATGCAAGTGCGATAAATAACTCTCAGTAATTAAAGAGCAGCTAGTAAGGTTTTTCTTAGAACACAAAATGCTCTGTTACAAATTCAGGAAAACAGTGTTAGGTTCTGTGCTTTTGAGAGGGCTCTAAAGGGGGTCAGATGGGCGGCAGCTCTCTTTCCCTTCTGTTGCGTCAATTCCACATTTCTAGGTTCTCCAAGTCTCCATGTCTGTTTCCAAGAGTGCTCAAATCCACATGCAATTCTTCAATAAGGATAATCTAATCAAAATATCAAATGTATTGCTGATAAGGATACAAAATCAATATACAGAAATCTGTTGCATTCCTATATACTAACAACAAACTAGCAGAAAGAGAAATCAAGAAAATAATTCCATTTACAACTGCATCAAAAATAATAAAATACCTAAGAATTCATCTAACCAAGGAGATGAAAGAAATTGAAGAAGATGAAAATAAATGGATATTTAGCCCATGCTCATGGATAGGAAGGATTAATATTGTCAAAATGGCCATCCTGCCCAAAGCAGTTTTCAGATTCAATGCAATTTCTATCAAAATACCAATTGCATTTTTGGATGAACTGAAGCAAATAATCCTAAAATTTATATGTAACCACAGAAGACCCCAAGTATCCAAAGCAATCCTGAGAAAGAAGAACATGGCTGGCCGTATCAAGCTCCCTGACTTCAAGCTTTACTACAAAGGTATAGTAATCAAAGAATATGGTACTGGCACAAGAACAGGCCCATAGATCAATGGAACAGAATAGAGAGTCCAGATATAAACCCACACATGTATGGCATCAGTTAATATATGGCAAAGGAGCCATGAATATACAATGGGGAAAAGATAGTCTCTTCAGTGAGTGGTTTTGGGAAAACTGGAAAACTACTTCAAGAGAATGAAACTGGATTACTCCCTAACCCCATACATAAAAGTAAACTTCAAATGGATTAAAGACCTAAATATAAAACATGAAACCATAAAACTCTTAGAAGAAAACATAGGCAAAAATCTCATGAATATAAGCATGAGTAATATTTCTCTGGACACATACCCCTGGGATAGGAAAACAAAGGCAAAAATAAACAAATGGGACTACACAAACTAAAAGGCTTCTGTACAGCAAAGGACACCATCAACAAAACAAAAAAGCAACCTACAGTATGGGAGAAGATATTCATAAATTATGTAGCCAATAAGGGGTTAACATCCAAAAATACATGAAGAACTGATATACCTCAACACCAAAAAGACAACCTAATAAAAACATGGGGCAAGGACCTGAACAGATAATTCTCCAAAGAAAAAATACAAAAGCCAACAGACAAATGAAAAGATGCTCCACATCGTAATCATCAGGGAAATGCAAATCAAAACCACAATGAGACATCACCTCACGCCAGTTAGAATGGCCACCATCCAAAAGACAAGAACTAACAAGTGTTGGTGGGGATGTGGAGAAAAGGGAACCCTCCCACACTGTTGGTGGGAATGTAAATTGGTGCAGCCACTGTGGAAAGCAGTATGGAGGTTGCTCAAAAAACTAAAAATGGAAATACCATTTGACCCAGTAATTCATTTCTAGTAATTTACCTGAAGAAAACAAAATTCCTAATTCAAAAAGACACAGGCACCCCTGTGGTTATTGCCACATTATTTACAATAGCCAAGATATGGAAGCAACCAAAGTGTTCATCAGCAGATGAATGGATAAAACAGATGTGGTACATATACACAATGGAATGTTATTCAGCCATAAAAAAGAAAGAAATCCTGCCATTTGCAACAACATGGATGGACCTAGAGAGTACTAGGCCAAGTGAAATAAAAGCAGGTGGAGAAAGACAAACACCATATGATTTCATGTATTTGTGGAATCTAAAAACAAAGCAAAACAAAATGAACAAAACAGCAGTAGATTCACAGACACTGAGAAGTGACTGGTTTTACCATGGTTGGGGGGGGCAGGAGAGCGGGGGTTGGGGTGAGTGGGTAAAACAGACAAAGGGGATAAAGAGGCACAAAATTCCAATCCCAATATAAATTAGTCACATGAGTGAAAGTACAGCATAGAGAATAGAGTCAGTGGCTCTATAACATCCTTCTATGTTGATTGATAGAAACTATAAAAGTTGGGGAGAGGATTTAATAATGTACACTATTGCTGGATCACTGTGTATACTTGAAACCAAAATAATATTATATATCAACTATACGTCAATTTTTAAAAATAAACAAAAGTGTTGCTGATAATAAAACTGAGATTCTCTTTCACTGTAAAAATGGCAAAGAAAAGATTCAAAAGAAATTATACTCAACCATAACTGAGGAACAAAATTCAAGGTGCTTTCTGAATTTTGCTCATTCCGAATCCAGCTCAGGAGAATATAAACTGCTTTGGTTTTTCTAGAAAGCAATTTGGCCATATAGACCAAGAGATTATACCCTTTGAGACAGTAGTTCCCCAACTAGAAATTTAGCTTAAGGAAATAAGCAGAGATAAGCAGGAATATATATATATATATTTATACAATATTCATTATAGAATATTAATACAAATTATTTGAAAGAACTCCCAAGTCCAACAAGCAGACTAGTCACATAAATTATAGGGCAGCCACAGGACAGGACATTCTGCAGCTACTAAATATATTGTTTTAAAAAATATTTAGTAACAAGGGAAATGGCAATAATACACAGTTAATTTTAAAAACTGCAGGTTATAGCTGTATCAACACCATGATCCCAGTTTGTGAAAATACACACATGCATGTACTTGATAAAAGATGAGGATACACACCACCATAGTACAGTAGTTCTCTGTGGGTGTACTTTTTTAGACTTTTCTATCTTTTTGGAATTTTCTCCAGAAAGGAAATAACACTTTATGTATCTTTACCTAGATATAGGTATATAGACAAATACACACACATATATATATTTTTTTTAAGTCTGTCTTCCTACTCATCTAAATTAAGGAAAACTTCTCACTGTTCTAGATGGTTCCAGAAGTAGCTTGGGTGGCTACATATTATAAATAATATCTAAAACCAAAAAGCTTGTATTTACACACACACACTCACGCCTGTGGCATGGCCAACAGGGCCCTGCTATTCCGAAGCTAATGCAGAAACCTGCCCAATCCAGGCCACTCAGCTCCTGGGTTTGAGCCAGTTCTAACTGATCCAGGCTCTTGGCTGTTTCTACTTCTCCTTCCTCCTGTGACTTCTTGCAGAAGTCTGCATGCATCACAGAAAGGCGGAAGAAACCGGTATCGAATTAGTAGTTTGCCCAAACACTAGCAGCTCCAATCTAAAGGTTTGGAAGGGCCACAGAACTAATGAATGAAAGGAGATGTAGAGACTCTCTCTAGATGCCGCGCCAGTCCCCTGGGAAAGCTGGAGGCTACTAGCTTGTTTAAAGAATCAAAGTGTAAGCGACCATGTGCCAGAAGTCCCCCACAGATGAGAGCGCTAGACTCCCCCACGTGCGTGTGTCTCAGCGTGGGACTCAAAACTAATCCTCCAGAAAGGGTGATCACCCTTTCAAAAGGCACGAAGCCCTTCCAGGAAGTAAAAGAGGAAGAGGCCAGTAAATCAACAAAAATGCTTCATTTCTGCAAGAAGGGATTTGGTAGAATCTGAGAGTTCTACTGATAATAGGTTGTCAAAATGCTTCTGACTAAAATAACAGATGGCCTCAGCAGTGTGTGTGTGTGTGTGTGTGTGTGTGTGTGTGTGTGTGTGTGAATGAGTGTGTGCATGTGCGTGTACACCAGCAGGTAGAAGTATATGTATACAAGTGAGTGTGTAGGGGGGTATGCACAGAAGTGTGTGAGTAGGTGTGGGCTTGTGTGTACTCATAGGTGTGTAAAGGTGGTTTGGTAGGGAAATGGAGGGAGGGAGTGAGGAGTAACAGAAAAGAGATAGTAAATATAAAACATACCCTTCAATGAACTAAAAGGAATCAGTATCTTTTAGACAACCATGGAAAATCTGATTAAAATAAAGGGAAACAATTTTAAATGCTATGAACATCACCAATACAGTAACACATTCAATTTAGGTAAGTTCCAACACATGGCATAAGCCAAAAAACATCTCCATTCTGATCACTTACTAAATTAAATATCAGCACATACTGTCCCCAGGGCCACTCAGCTGAAGTTCCAGAAAACCTTCCATCACTACCAGATCCACTCCTGCTGAGTCTGATAATGTACCTGGGGTCCCACTACCACCAACAGGAGATCTGGAGAATTACACCGGCTGCCTTTTGCCTGGTCTGACCTTCTGGACATGCATATGAGTACACACACGCACACACACACGCACACACACACAGCCATGGCCTTTACCAGCCAACCTCCCACTCATCCACCCTTGACCACCACACATGACTGCTCACCTCCCTCAGTTTCTTGCATCATTCTTCCCGGCTTGGCCATCCATCCATCCATCCATCCATCCATCCATCCATCCATCCATCCATCCATCCATCCATTCATCCAATATTAATTAAGAGCATTGTATATGTTATTCACTGGTGATCTGATCGACACCCCAGCCTGCTCAGCTGGTGCAGAAACACCTTGACTAACTCTTGTCAGTCCCCTTCCCCAAACCTAAATATTGAACCTTGTTCCCCACATCCCCAGCCCACAGGCACTTACTCAGGTACTGCCTCCAACTGGAATGACTCAAAACAATTACAATTCTGACAGGCCTTACAGCAAATATCACACAACAAAGCTCCAAGACTGTATTCCTTTGGTCAAAATGTACAAACAATAATATTAATACTTTGCATAGCCGTGGGCATTTGTGGACAATTTCCTCCTTTTCCCACAATCTTGGACTTCCCAGCCCTTCTCCTCTCAGTGTATGATCTATAGCCACCCAACTAGAATAGGAAAAAGAAGTACTTTGAACCCAGAAGGCACAGAACCATTTATGTCCCATACTTACCTATGGAATATCTAAGACCAGTTCAGGCTCAAACAAGGCATCTGAGATGAGCAGCGAGCCCCTCAGCCCCACCGAAGCCTGGCCGCTGCAGGGCCACTGGCCAAAGAAAATCAAGGAAGAGAAACAAAACACGGGCACTAGCTGGAGCAGAAGCCCTGTTTCAGCAACAAGTATTAAGTCCACTGTGTAAGGAGCTGGAAGAAAGGCCCTGGTGTAGAGCACATCAGGGTTTGTGTCAGCTTTGCTAAGGACATAATCTGGACCAGAGGGCAGGTGACACCCAGTCTCTCCTCCAGCCCTTCTGGCTCTGGCCGCAGGAACCCAGCCAAGCTCATAGGCATTGGGCTAGAATTCTCCACTGTGCTGCCCGTACCTCCACCCCCCAGCAACTCCCAAAACCTCAAGAGGTACGTAGGGCTTGCCTTTGATCAGCCGCTCAGGTCTCGTCCCGGGTAAGGTCCACATGGCCTGTGCCAAGTGTCCAAAGACGGTGGCATCAAGAGTGGACAGCTTGGGTCCCATGATGTACTTCTTGTCACCTGCAGCAGACAGAGCAAAAAGGTCACTGGGCTGGCCCGGGCTGCGCCCCAAGGGCTCTCAGCACGCTCGCGTTATATGCTCATCTGACTGTGCATCACAAGTATTGCAGTCAAAATGCACACACCCTCTTTTTCTTGAAAAAATAGAAACAAAACAAACTTCTGTGACATATCAACCTATACAACAGCAAGGCAGGGAAGCAACTGGGAACTTATCAAGATAAGCAGATGAGGGAAGAGGGTCCTGGAAAAAAGGAAGAACTGATCCCCCACAGACCTCTCTGGAGGCACCTCCATGTCCCAAACTCAAGTAGTTACGGTTGAGATGCCTGAGAACAGATGAAGTCAGCTTAGACCATCTCTAAAGCCAGTCTGACCGAGCACATGCACACTCAGCACTTACTTTATCAAATTAATACATTTCTCAGGAAAAAACAGAGACCTCAGGTCCTTAAGAAGTTTGGAGACAAGGTTTTCTGTGCTGTCAGCATAGTCTGGCAAGGTTCTGACCACCCAGTACCAGCTCCACGGGAAACAAGCATAAAGAGAAGCCAGAGAGTGACAGGCCCAGCCCTGGGGTCAGGCTTCCAGCCCAGGATGCTTCCCATTGCTGCTCCATCCCCCGACCTACCTCAGGCCTTGTCGCCTGGACCACCGCATCTGACCTAAAACCTCCCCAGGTTGCTTCCCGGGGTACTGTCAGGCACGGTCACACACACAGGCAGGGTGGGGGGTACTGGATATACCTAGTTCATATCCTGACACCACTGCCTGGTCACCACTTAAGCCCTCAAAGCCTCCACTTACCCAGCTGGAAAATGGGGACGATATGAACAGTGCCCATTTCTTAGAGCTATTGTAAAGACAAATGACATAACGCACGTGACGCACTTAGCCCTCTATCTGCGTCACTCAGCAAACACTGAGTCATTAATAACCAACATGAGCTCTCCTGACAGCCCCCCTTGTCTCTGCAGTCCACTCCATATCCCACCTGAGCTTCCATCTCTAAGATACTTTTCTCATCACGTCCCACCCTTCCACAAATCCTCCAGTGGTTTACGAAATAAAGTCCAAACTCAACTCGGAATTCAAGGCTCATTATACTCTGCCTCCTCCCCACGTTCCAGCTTTACCCCTCATTCCTCCCTTACTCTAGCAAACCTGGGGAACACCCCCCATTCCCCCACACCCTCTCTGCTTCCCACTGGTACACATTGCTCGTACTGTGCCCACTTCTTTCCCTGCCCTGCAAAACCTGTACGTCCTCCCACTTCGCTCCATCTGATAAATTCCATCTGTCCTTCGAGGGCCGGCACAAGCTTCATTTTAAAGCTTGCTGTGTGTACAGTATCCGACGGCAGGGGCAGTTTTCAGCTCAGACAGCCCTGTGTTCAAATCTCACTCTTACACAAACAACCTTACAGGACTTCAAGGCTTTTAAATTTCTTGGAGCACAAAATTGGAGAATCACTAGTTGTTGAGAAGAATAACTGACGCGACATGCGGAGGACACACGGCCAGGGGGTCTTGCCTCTTCTTGCCCCGCCTCTGCGGTGATGCTTTTTCCATATTGCTCTGTACATTGGTTGTTTTTCACTTGTACATTTCAGCTTTGCAACTAAAGGTAAGCCGTTTGAAAGGAAGGGTCATTTTTTATTTTTAATAAAAACTCTAATACAGTGTTTACTTCATGCCGGGCTCAGTCCTAAATGCTGGGCTCTGCAAATACCGCCATTTCTCTCTTCTTGAGCAGCAAGCTGAGAAAACTGGGTAAGTAACGACAAGGCCCAGGCAAGCTGTGGGTGGGATGGAGGAACGGCTGCCCTGGGAATGGGAGTTAACAGACCAACGCACAAATGACACTGGAGGTGACGGAGATGTTAGGTGTTTGCCAATGCTAATCATACTGCAATATATAAATGGCTCAAATCAACATGCTGAACACCTTAAACTTATGAAATGTTATATGATTATATCTCGATTAAAAAATAAATTTAAAAAAATGACAACAAAAACACAACAAGTGGGGCTGGAGGTGATTCTTAAGAATCCTTTCTCCTCTATATCCCACAGACAACAAGAAAGCGCCTAGGCCGGGGGAAAGGGCTGACGCTCACCACGCTGTCCTCTCGAGGAGGCCAGCAGGCTGCCTGCTACAGCTTTCAGGTGGTTCCCAGGGTCAACCAACTCTATCCATCCTTTGAGTCTTACCCTGGGATCTAAGCCCACCACTCAAGCGCTGGGAATACAAGGGGCCAATACTGCTTGGGGAAAATAATGAAGGAAAACTGGGGTGTATCATTTGTTCCCAAGAGTGTCAGTTACGTCTTGCTGGCATTGGTGCTTTAGGTAGGCGGACGGACCGGCCCAGAGCCCTCAGGCCACTGGGCAAGGGCAGGGGGAACGACGGCCAGGGTTCCCTATGGGGCTGGGGGCGGGGGGCCAGGGCTCAGCCCACTCAAGGCCTGAACAGGGGCAGGACCACAAAGTGGAGGCCACCACAGGGATGTGGGGGCTTAGAAGAGCTACACACCATTTCAGAGAGAAGACGAGAAGATGGAAAAGGACTATAATGGCTTCCTGAGGAAAAGGAAAAGAAAGAACATGTTGATCTCCTTAAACTGCTACAAAGAAAGAGTCTGAGGGAAATGCCAGAATCAAGTCCATGCAGTGCTGAGTCTGTTGTATAATCCACAGACTTGGGGAGCAGGAGGAAAAACTGGGGGAAAGCTAAATATAAGGCACATAGGACTTTCATAAAAAGAAAAAAATACTGAAAAATATAACCATTTCAATCTATACATCGACTAGTGCAAAGAGTATTCAGCCCAAATTTGTCATGTGGCTCCAAATGCCCAAACTGGAAGGACACTGAGTTAGTGACAGAGGTAGACTAAGAATGCTGGCACCCGGTCCCCTGACTCCCCACCTGACGCTCTTCACTCTGCACAACATCCCACATGGGCGTCACCTCAGAGATAAAGGAACAGCAGGAGGGTTGAGCTCTGAATGTTTATGAAAAGTTGCTTTAATCCCTGATTCAAAAAAGACAGATGCACCCCTATGTTTATCGCAGCGCTATTTACAATAGGCAAGATACGGAAGCAACCTAAGTGTCCATCAGTAGATGAATGGATGAAGAAGGTGTGGTACATATACATGATGGAATATTATTCAGCCAAAAAAAGAAAAGAAGTCCTCCCATTTGCAACACCATGGATGGAGCTAGAGGGTATTACGCTCAGTGAAATAAGCCAGGTGGAGAAAGACAAGTACCAGATGGTTTCACTCATCTGTGGAGCATAAGAACAAAGAAAAAACTGAAGGAGCAAAACAGCAGCAGCCTCACAGACTCCAAGAAGGGACCAGTGGTTACCAAAGGGGAGGGGTTGAGGAAGGTGGGTGGGGAGGGAGGGAGAAGGGGATTAAAGGGGCACTATAATTAACACACACAATATAGGTTGGTCACAGGGAAGGCAGTACAGAACGGAGGAGACAACTAATGACTCTATCTGACTGCGCTGATAGACAGTGACTGCAATGGGGCAGGGTGGGGGGCTAGTGAGGACTTGATAATACAGGTGAATATTGAAGCTACAATGTTGTTCATCTGAAACCCTCTTTAATTTAAAAAAAAAGCTGCTTTAGTCAGGAGGGAATACAGAACATAGGAAGGAAAAAGGAAAAGAAACCCATGGGTTTTTTAAAGGTGCCTGCAAAAAAGAACTGGTAGAATTTAGCATTTATGGAAAATGCTGGATGGTAGTTACAAAATTATATATGCATAGACAGGTGACAGTTACAAATTTAAAGAATATAAAAATATCCTCTAGTAAAAATCCTCGAACTACCCAATAAAGTTTAAAAAACTTTATTGTAAAATAGTTTTTTACCTATAGAAAAGTAACAAAAATAGAGTTCCTCTATATACCCTTCAACCAGCTCCTAATTTAATATCTTATATAACCACATTACATTTACCAAAGCCAATAAATTAACATTAATACAATACTATTAACTGCCCCAAAGACATTATTCAAACTTTACTAATTTTTCAACTAACGTCCTTTTCTGTTCCAGGATCCTGTCCAGGAAACCCCACTGCATTTACCTGTCATGTCACCTCATTCTCCTCCAGTCTGTGAAGATTCCTCAGTCTTTCTTTGTCTTTCATAAACTTGACACTGTTAAAGAATACTGGCCAGCTATTCTGTAAAATGTTCACCAATTTGGGTTTGTCTAAGGTTTTTATAATTAGATTACGGCATGCATTTTTTGGCCAGAATACCCCAGAAGTAATAAAGTGTCCTTCTGTGATGGTTCATGTTACATGTCAACTTGACTAGGACATGGAGTGCTAAATTATTTGGTCCAACATTATTCTGGGTGTTCCGGTGACGGTGCTATTAGATGAGATTTACATTGAAGGGGTGGACTGGATAAGGGAAGTCACACGCTCTAGTGTAGGTAGGCTTCATCCAATTAATTGAAGGCCTTAATAGAACACAAGGCTGGCTCTCCCCCAAGTAGGAGAGGATTTCTACTGCCTTGCTGCCTTTGACCTGGGGCAGGGGCTTTTTCCTGCCTTCAGACTAAAGCTGAGACATCGGCTCTCCCTGGGTGTCAGGCCTGCAGGCCTTTGGGCTGGAGCCACACCATCGGCTTTCCTGGGTCCCCAGTTGGCCAGCTCACCCTGAAGATCTTGGGACTTGTCAGCCTCCATAAGGACCTGAGCCAATCCCTTACACTAAATCTTCATACTAAACAGACATATATTTCCTTTTCCATACACCCTACTGGTCTGTTTCTCTGGAGAACCTAATACATCTCAAGGTGTCACATTAAAGGGTCTATAACGTCCATGTCTTAACATTGGTCATGTTGACCTTGACCATCAAAGCAAAGGTAGTGTTAGTGAGGTTTCTTCACTGTAATGATACTATTTTTCCTTTTGCAATTTATAACCTTGGGAGAGATATTTTAAGACTGTATGAATA